TTAAGAGCTACGACATTTTAGGACTAAGGAACGTATGTCGATCGGAATATACCCCATTTCCTTTATTTAGTACCAAGTATTTACAATGTTTTCCTCGCTCAGTTGCTAATGAGCCCTGGGCGCTTTTAGGCCACCTCCTAGCTCTTGATTGTGGTGGTGATGTCGAAGTACCCGGATGTACAAGACATTTGGGAGCTTAAGATCCGACGACGGCGACGGCAACGAGAACGTCGCAAAAGCAATAGGTTTAATAACCAAAACAATAATTTTGCACGCGCATCTCCCTTTTTTTTACATTTCTTTGCCGTCACTGCACTACTACGACGTGAAAATGCCAAATTTCACGTGGTACAGAGGAAAGAAGCACATAAGCGACGACCAAATTTTCTCCCTCTTTCTGAACTTGGATATGGTTCTTAGAAATTCGACTTTAGGAAGGTTCGCCTACATTTCACAAAGTTAGTGACTTAGAGTAATCTCGATGAAGATTGAAAGAACACGAATTCACTTTTTCAGCGACGTTTTCTCTGCCGTCGTCGTCCATGGATCTTAAGGTCCCTATTGCTGAGTCACCGACGGGACAGTTTGACGCTGATCGGTAGATGATAAAAAACCTGTATACATATAATTAGTAGCTATTAGATGAGGCAAAGTATGGTATGGACAATTATGCAGATCGATGATCGATGAGCTTGAAATATGAGCTTTGGCGCTGTCGCGTAACCTTCGAAAAGCATGAGGCTTATATTAGCTATGAATTTGAAGGGACTTAAGGTGACTCGACCCAGTTATTTTGGGAGGGTACCATCCTGCTTTGAATCTCTCTGGTATCCCCACCTTTACTTTGATCGTAAGTCCAACATATAGCATGGATAACACATAGATCAATCTACAATATAGCATGAAATTTTGGGCGATCGGAGTAAATGTCACGTGGTTATAGTGCCACGCCTCTTTTGGGTCTGAGTCGAAATTCTGCTGTTGCCGGCATTTTTTCGTGAAAATCTCCCGGCTACGTATAGTGCGCATTGGTGTCTTGCGTTGAACAGAGTTTTACCAAAATCGCAAAGACCCAATGCGAGAAATTCAGTGGTTTGCAAACTTAGGTCATAATTTAAGTGAAAATGATAAGCAAACTTTACACGATTATATCTAATAAACTATGAGATTTATCCCTTTATTTTGGGGATCTTTATAACAGCTGGGTCCCGCAAGTCAGCAAAAAGTTTTAGTGCCGCGTAAATGCGCGCGATTTTGAGCAATGCAAACATATAGAAACCATAGTTTTAGCTATTTGTTGACGTTTGTCACGGTTTCAGAGTCCTTCTCACGAAAAACGCATTTTCTTAAAAATTCGTAGTTTGTTTTCCTTCAAATTTTTTCAGGGCCACAATTGATTAACTAACTACCCGAATTCTGAATTTCATGGTCGTTGAAAAACTGTGACATTATCTTCTATAAGCCTCAACTTGAGTAAACATTGAAGATTTTGAGCATTTTGGGTGAGCTTGTGCTTTGGGAGCTTTCTATTGTTTCAAGTCTGTCATGATACCGCATTCTTGTTCAGCACGCGTGTAATGACCGCGCTTGGCTGACTTCCGAATGCTCACCGAGATATGATAATTTGGTACGGTGAGACAGGCGATTCCGTGATACATAGAGGTTTGACTCAAGATTTTCAATCAATTCTCGAGCATTTTCTTTTTAGAGCTTTTAATTCTTGGCGTGATGTACACTCAGCTGGCTAGGGACGTTACGTGAAGGGAATCCCCTCTATTTTATCACCGTACCAAAATTATGATATCTCGGTAATAAACCTGACTTTTGAATTATCTTTTCCTCTTCATGAACTGCATGTACGAAGTATGCAAATTTACTAAAAGCTGAGATTGCACATGTGAAAAAGTTCAGGTGGCTATGCGATTTACCGCCGAAACGCGGTTGAATACCAATACACCATCCACAGAGAACCCTTGCAAGCTGTAGATCTGAAAATGTAAAAGAGCAAGCCTATCTTGCTTTAGTTAGACCACAGCTTGAGTATGCCGATGTTGTACATGGGACCCGCATATTCAAAAACAGATAAAAGACATTGAAAGCGTGTAGAGACGAGCGACACGTTTTGTTAAAAATGAAAAAAACACCACTCCTGGAACTCTCACGAAAATTCTAAATGATTTGAAATGGCCAACACTCAAGAAAAGAAGGAAAGTGGCTTTCTGGTCTATCAGCTACACAATTTCCACCCTACATATTATTTAAAAGGCGACAGGGCAGTAGGCAATTCCACCCTACGAAATTCATTCAACTTGGTGCAAGAACAAACAAATACCAAAATAGTTTTATTGCACGTACAATCAGAGACTGGAACTGCTTACCAAATAGGTCAAATAGTGTCATTGAAAAGCAGTCGGTGGAGGCTTCAAAAAGGTCGTCATGTGCCACCTTTAAAAACGCTGACGCTTTTTTTTGACTAAATACTCGCAACATATTGTATTTTTAATATAAGCACATGCGCATCTGCACATCTGCCGTGATGGCATATACGAGGGGGGCGTAAGGGTTTGCGGTGATGCGGTTTTGTGTTATTTTTGGTGCGGTTTTGCGATAATTTTTATTTTAACTCGCGGTATTGCGGTTTCAAAACACTAAGCGGTTGGCGGTTACTACAACATTTAAGTCGCGGTTTTCGGTGAAAAAAAAGTGTCTGCGGTGATAACACTCTTTAGAACGGTCGGCATCCCGTTGTTTTGCAAGCGCGAGCCAAGTGTTTTGTTTTACAACGCATCAGGGTTCATTATATCAGCTTACAATTTAACTCCGTGGTTTGCAGTTACGGCCTTTTCCAGTTAATACTTAATATGATTAACCGTTTTGGCCAGTGATGCGTAAAAAAATTAGCTGCCGGATGTTAGCTCGTACAGCCGTTCAACGTCGTGTTCTCGTTGCTTTGATTCAATGCGCGACGATGGCAATTGAGGTCGTCGAGGTCGCAACTGAAAGCGAAGAGGACGTAAAAGTTAATTGCGTGGCAATCTTCTATGAAGAAGGAAAGGAATGGGAGAATTTCAGAAGAGCTGTGCGTTTTAACAATCGTCTTCTCCACTGAACGTGAACTCTTTACGAGACAAGAAGGTCACAATTCCAGAAGAAACATTTATTCCGCGTTCCACAACTAGCACAGGGTCGTCCAAAGTAATCAGTCACCCAATGTAAGACGTACAGGATCAGTGACAGAGTTTTTCAAAGTCAAGGGAGATATCAATACTCGTTCAAGTACATGACCAGCATACTTGGCATTTGGTTAGTAGTTAATAGAGTATAATAGTGAAGTACAATATATCGTTAGCGTTATGATGGTATGTTTAATACTAACGCACAATGTTATTGCGTTCGAGGTACGAGAACGCAACCCCTAATTTGTGTTGGGTGTTGTGTGCATTATTGGGTGTCTTGTGCAATTAATAAGGGAGGTTTTTTTGAGATTGCATTTTCGTCGTCGTCGTCGACACACATTTGCCTCGCTTTGAGGAGCTTGCTTAAGTTTTGCCTCACTTTGACGCGCTAATCCATGTGGTGATTCTTGTGTCCTCGGCGTTCATCTTTCAAAGGTTTGCTAAGGTCTGATATTCTGTCTTCGTAAGGCGTTCATCTTTTAAAAAGTTTGCTGAATCTTCGTAAAGCGTACATCGATATGTGTTTGCTGAATCGTCTAAAGCGTTCGTCTTTCAGAAGTTTCCTGTTAAATTTTACTTTGGATTAAGCCTTCATTGTCTTTGGAAAACGTCTGCGACTCCTGGTACATGCATCAAACCGTGTTAAGTTCGGCGGCCGTTATGCCACAAAGCAAATTTACCGAGTTGTGTAGCTTGGCGGTCGTTGTGTCAAAAAGTAAATCTACCGAGTTGTGTGGCTCGGCAGCCCTTGTGCCACAAAGTAAATCTACCGAGATGTGAAGCTCGGCAGCGCCATTTGATCATGACTTGTGATATTTTCGGCACCGGACAAACAAACACTTTAACTCTATGTTATTTATTAGGAAAAACGTATAAACCAGCCCACAGTAGCGCCACTCTCGAGTCTCTGAAATCAACACGCTGGACCAAATTACTGGAAAAGTTATTGACGTGAGCCGCACACTCGTACCATTGAAGGCTTTGACAGGGTTAGTGCGAAGTTTGAATTCAGATGTGAAAGCTTTTAAAACAGTAAATTCAATGTAATTCATTTTGTCAACAAGTTGATGATTGGATGCTCTTAAAAACAACAGAGAAAATTATCCGAAGAAATGTTTTTGAAGAAAGAAAAAGAATCCCGGGTTAAGCACTAATCGACCTTTGAGCAACTGCGCCCTGTAACTCGCGCCAGTGAAACAAAATGTTCCATTTACGACGCACTCTGGCCAAGGTCTCCTCCGATTTAAAGCACTTGACGCCGAACCATACGATATCTTTTGAAAATGTTCTTATGATACACAGTTTAAATAGAGGTTTCGCTGTACGCAACCCTAATACGTTCAAAATATGCCATAATCATATTTATCGATATCGCAACCACCCTTTCGCCTCAACTGCTATTTGTATGCCTAACAAACATATCGAACGCACTCTCCTAAGCTCCGATTACTCCTAGTCAGAATATATCACAAGTCTTGCTGACGTCAGCTTTCATATTGTGGCCTACATGTACGCGCGGTTTCGGTATTCGGGAAAAAATCCGATGCGGTTTGCGGTTTTTTGGCGTATTTCTGTGCGGTTTTGCGGTTTTCGGACCCCCCTTACGCCCCCCTCATATACCCTTTGGAGATTATACGATTAGAATTAGAATTAGAATTTGGGCGCTTGAATGTGAAATTTCACCCCGGCTTACATGACCATGTAGGGTGTGTAGGGTGTTTAGGGTGTAGGGATAACTGTGTAGGGTGGGGATTTGTGGGGTGGGGAAGGTGGGGACGATCGATACCTCGTTCCCAGGGTTCTCTCTCTTGCTTCAAGATAGGAACTTGAAGCTCAACTTGAAGCACAATGGCGGAAGGGGAGATGGTTCCTCTGCTTCCTTTGCCTTCTGGATATGAATACGAATTTATTTCAGCCGTACTCGAGGATTTCCACTGCCTTATTTGTCATCTACCTTTACGAGAACCAGTTCTCACTAGATGTGGTCACAGATATTGCAAAGGTTGTCTCGATGAAGCGATTAGAAGGTACGCTGTTTCAACAGACGAGTGACGGTAGCACGGGCAATGCCTGGATACGTCTAGTCAGTTTAATTTAATACCCGGGTAATGCATGACAGCAAAATAACCATGCTAGATGGTGAACAACACAGTACGACAAGGAAAGCAAAAAAACCTACGCACTTTGAAATGCTACTTGTACCACTTTAATAATTCCTGCACAAGACGAAACGTTTGTTATGTTGTAAAGTATATGTGGTAGTTAATTTTTTATCTCAGGTTGTTTTTCTTTTTCTTTTGTTTCAACTTCATTAGCATGCATTACCATACCCAAAAACCAAAGAAAAACAAAAATTACCTGGCGATAAAAAATTAACTGTAACATATTATATGACACGAAATTGTAATTTATACCTGTAAGAACTTATATACAGTGCCTTGATTGTACCACTTCATTCTTGCACAAGGTTTGTTTTGTTCTGATGTACCTTTTTCCATTGCTTGTACCTGTGAAACAGTACTAGACCTGCCTTGTACCCAGACGTCTCTCTCTCAATGAAAATTTGCATGTAACCAGTCACTTGCGTTTCACGCTCGCCTCTATGCAAAACCATGTGAAAAATGAAGCACCTGAGGAGGAGGCAGGTACTAGACAAGGAAAGAATGAAAACGTTTATGTTTCTAATGCATGGTTCAATTTGACCTGTTACCATCCCCCCCCCCCCTCTCCGGGCAACCCCCCGGGACAAATCCAGCCCTTTGGGCCTGGGGGTAGGGGGTGGGGTAAATCAAAAATAACTTCGCTCCCCACCTCTTATTTTGTGAAGTTCATGTCATTTCTTGCACATTTTGCAAGATGGCTTCCTGCAGACCTCAAGACTACACATTCTCAAGGGAAATTGCAGGAATTTGTCAGAGAGCGGTTGGAGTGGAATAACCTATCAAAATTTAAGCCTTTTTTAAAGGTGTATTTTAAATTTTTACTCGAATGTGCATATAATGCATTGATCTTTTTTGGAAAAGCAACAAAGAAATATTTCTTCAGCCTAGTTCTATGATATGATAAGACAACCTAAATAGACTTTATTAAATTATCTGAAAATATGGATAAAAGGGTTTTAATATATAAAGATAAACAGAGATTCATTCCAGTGTTCTTATGAAGTGTTCTATCCAGGGGGAGCTCAATTAAGAGTTTTTTTCTTCATTTTTGTTTTCAATTTTATTGTTGATGTTTTAACTACTTTATACATGTATTATTCTTCTCTAAATAAGCTCTAGAACACATTTATAAAAGCTCTGAATACATTTTGTTTTACTATTGTGCAGAAATCAATTTTGCTTTCAAAAGGATGTACCCCAAAAACATGTTTTATGAGGTCGATCAGGAGCTCGGGGTGGGGAATTGTCTCTTTCTGCATTTATGCCTAGGGTCGGGAATACTCCACCAAGAACAAAAAATGCAAATCGGGGAGGGAGCGGGGAGGGGGGGGGCGGGCATGGTAACTGGTCAAATTGAACCATTCATAAGTCGTTTTGCAAGTAAGTTTCTAATATAATTTTCTTTAGTTTTTGCATTCATGGATCTTTATATGTCACTGTTTGTTGCAGTATTTATATCATTACCATTACTTGTGGAAAGTCCTTTTTTTATCAATTGTAAACTTTTGCAATCTTGCATTCCAATTATGGCGCAAAAATGCCTCATAAAGCATTGGCATACAAGCTGCTGTCTCAGACAAAAATAGCTGGGACACTTCCACCTGAAATAATGCCTATGCTTGATCATGCATACCATTTGTCTTTGACATGGTTTTATCTTCCGGAGGAATGTGAGTGCTTAAGTCTCTGTTTTCAAGTTTGAAGATCAATTTTGTGTTCTTGTTCTTAGTTTTTATTTGATTGACTGTGTTAGGAAGTATTCTTTTCCCAGCAGCTCGTGTCATAATTGAGAGAATGATAACATTATTTGAAAAATCTACAATGCCTACAGGTAGCTCAAGTTAACTGAGATATAGGTAGTCAGTGTGTTTACATCAGGATCTCTCGTGAAGCAGAAAGTGCCACCACCACACGACAGTTTAGCAAACTTTAGTCTAACCAGAAGAAGATAATGGCATCTTTAAATGGCTTCTGTTTAAATTTTTGGAGCGTAGTATTTAGTAGCAGACAGTTTACCAAAATAATGGCACTTAACGTAGGCTATATTACCTCTTAGCAAAATGCATAGGTACAGACTTTGCTGTTAGGCTTTTACATGTATACTTACTTTATTACAGGCAAGAGATTCCAGAGTGTCCTACAGACAGAGAAAGACTAGACCTAGAAAAGGTATTTGTCTATAGTGAATATGCCTGACTTCTGTAGACAGGGCAGTTATTTGACATCAAGAATCAATTTTTTTTATAATTAAGAAGAAATCTTACAATAACCAAACAGGATTCATAGTGTTGAAAAGATAACAGACTTTATAGCTCAGAGATGGAGGGCTCAGTTAAGCTTTGGAAACATCTGCAGCTTCTCTGGAACTTTGTTGCTAATCCAATGATATACATGTACAACTGTAATAAATAGTGATTCCCTCTGCTCTGCTCTAAAAACTATAAGTACCCCCTTCACATTTTTTTGATCCCGACCCCAGGTAGTTTCCCAAGCAGACATTCTTTTGGCTCATCATCCATCTAGGATATTTTCTGGAACCACCCAATTTCCAAATAATATATTTCTAATGCAGTCTTTTAAAAGGCCTCTGTAGAGTAAAACAGGTTCAAAAGGATGAATTTGAAGATCTGACAAGTAAAGTAATTATGTAATTATTATTTGCTGCCATTAACATATAGGATATATTCCCTGATAAAGCCACAGAAAGAAGTATTCTCTCTTGTTGCGTGAAATGTCCCAGTGAAGGCTGTGAGTGGACTGGAGAGACTAGATATGTAGAGGTATAAGATATATACTAATGTAATGTTTGTCGGTAGCTACGAATGGACCATGCACTGGTTTCAAACCAGAAATTTCAAACATAGTTATTCTAAACCCTTTTCTCATCTGGTTGATCAAGAAATTCTATACCCATTATACCAGCCTGAGGTGTGTCCTGTATCAGTTGTCTGGATTTTAGAATGTCAGTGTGTGTTCATATACTCCATGTTTTTGGCAGCTGAAAATTATTTGAAAGATTTCAATTGTCACTAATAAAGTGGAACATGGCCTAATGATCCATAGGATCATTATACGTTTCTGGGAAACTGCCCACCTACCCCTCCCCTAAGCCAACATTAACACTTCTCACTTAGGGACAAATGTTGGCTTAGGGGAGGGGTAGGTGGGCAGTTTCCCAGAAATGTATAATGATCTGTTTATTATATAATAATTACCACTTCATTATTCAGTATCCCACTCTGGGACCAATGTAATTCAGAGACACTCTGTCATTTTCTTTCCTTTTTAAAACCGTGTTAACCCATTCACTCCCGAACCACTAATAACCTCCTGTGAGGTTCCATCTCGTTCCAGTTTTGACGTCATCAGTTTAACTGCCTAAGGATCGAGATCTTTATGACCATACTTGAATGAGCATGTTTCAGCCAAAAAAGGGGGAGAAAAACAAAGAAAATGATTTTAAAGTTTATCCTAAAAGTTTTCCATAATATCTATTTTTATGTCCCCCTTTACCCTGTAGAAATAAATTCAGGTAAGACTCATGGTTTGGTGAGACCTCTTGTGTCCAAGACATTTTTATAGTTCTTCCATAAGGTTAGTATGTGAATTTAATTTTTGGCCTCTTCTTTTCAGACTCACCTTAAGATCTGTGCTTACAAGATTGTCACTTGTCCCAATTCCAACTGTGACATGAAAGTGGAAAGAATGCTTGTGGATGATCATATGAATACGCTGTGGCTACTGCAATGAGGAGCATTATAAATGTGACGAAGAGGTACAGTGAAGTTACATGTATGCGCCTATCACTGTCAAGTCTTATGGGTGAAGTGGGCGTACTGGGGGCAACTGAACATTGTCAAAGAATTATTTTTCGTCAAAATACTCACCCTGGGGCCAGAATATGGTATTGGGTCAAATTCCAGTGAAATATCTCCAGTCTGAAGTACATGAGAGACAATTGACCCTGACAATTAAGAAATTGACCCTGTTAATTTAAGGTTACTGGAAACCTTAATTTAAATTATAGTTGTGGGTACGATCATTTAAAGAGATAATTGATGCTTACTTAATGCTATTTTCTTGAATTGGGTTTTTGAAACTTTTTCATTGAAAGGCGGATAAGAGTGCTTGTTTTAAAATGGTCATGGAAACATTGGTGTTCTATTTTTTTTCAAAATGTTTAGTATATTTAGAAAGTGAAGCTCTATAAACTATAATTTGATACAGGTTTTACACTCTTCATCTCCTGGACTTTATGTAAGGGATCTGGCACCTGGTAACCTCTTAGAAGGGAGAAACTATGTCAAATACCTTGGTATGACTCATCGACTCATAACTCACTTGGAAGAATCATATATCATTTATCTCCTCAAAGATCAGCTAATTTCTTGGAATTCTCACAAGACTGAGACACTGTTCCCACTGGTACTTTACTAAGCATACTGTATAAAAATTGTTAATCTTTGATGCAGCCCTACATAACTTATGGTATCGCTGTATGGGGCCAAGCTGGTCAAACAAACTTGGACAAACTATTAATTTTGCAAAAACACACTCTTCATTAAATTGAATTTTAATTCACTTTGCTCCACACAGATCTCGTGTGATCCTGTTATTCAACCTATATAATATCCTACTGCTTGATTTTCAATACTGCAAGTCAGTTTGAACTATTATGCATGACAGTCATAGAGACAGAAGCAATTTTAATTAAGTAGCAATGCCTTAAAACAGATCTTTTTCTTTGTCTGCAGAAACATGCCTCTTAATGTGTGAAGATTCCAACTGATTGTTCCAATGGGTGTGGTCAGGTCATAACAAGAGAGGAGGTAAGGATAACAGTGAATATAAGCTGCCTAGTCATAATAATAGTAGTAATAATAAATGTATTAAAAATTTACAAAATATCTGTTGGACCTAATTAAAAGCTAGTTTAAAAAAGTTTGTCTAAAGCAATATTTTAAAAGTGTTAAAATTTTCCTCATTATGAATATTAATGGCTGGCAAGCTGTTCCACTGTTTTGGTGCTGCAGCCAAGAAAGCGCGGTCACCAAGTGTCGTATGAGTAATAACTCTTGGAGCTTGTAGTAGGAGTCCTTTGTTTGATGTCACACAAAGGTTGAAGCCAAATGTCTGGTAAAGAAAACGTGTTGTCTTGTAATCACCCAATGTGACTTCTCAGCTAAAACCTTTTTTCAAAAGATGTGGGATCTTAAGGGATCTTAAGGTATTTACGTCAGGTAACTTCTGCAAATTATTATTTTAGTGATTTCCTTGTGTTTGTTTAGAAATCTTGTTTATATATTGTTGATATTGTTAACTGCCTGGGTGGGTTGTTTTGCTAACTTGCCAATACAGCAAACGTTGCTCGGAACAATGCATTCTGATTGAATTAATGTTATCGTAAAGCATCAAGCTAATACATTTATTCCCGTTCGAGTCATTGTGTCAGAAAGAAAATGACCCTTACTTGTGGATTTGATTTTTTTCAGATTGGAAACCACACTAAAAATGACTGTCCACTTTCTATCATTTCCTGCCCTTTTCTTTCAGTTGGCTGCAATACAAAGGTGTGTTTCTTACATTTCTTAAGTCAGTCATCATATATTTTACTTAATATTATTGTTTTGTTATTTTCGGTCCTGGAGAGGGTCGGTCCTCTTTGACTGGTTGCCCTGCCCTTTGCAGGGAGGCTTCATCTAATTGGTCATGCAACACTAGTAGGAAAGGAATCGGCGGAGATCGGACGACGTTGTTTTATCTTACTTTGGAAAGTCCCCGACACGGGAAAAGATTTTAACAATGAGTGCTTTATTTAAGAGTACGTTTGGCGTTGTGTACGGTTAGCCTAAACCAACTGGTTTTACTGCCTTCTTGATTTGTAGTAAACAAAGACGATACACGAGCAGGAGGGTATTATCAGGTTTAAAAACTCGAGGCGAGTTTGCCCAGAGTTTGTAAACCTGATAATACACGACTACGAGTTTTTTGAACGGCTTCAAAATGTCTCATATAGATCAACTCATTCTTGCACTTATATTTAGATTTGGGGTTATTTTGGTCTAAAAGGTTAGACGGTAAAGTTTAACCGTGCCTTTATCAGATGTAAAGACACTCATTATTACATTTTAATTTCTTTTGTTTTTTTCTTTATGAATTATTAATGAGTTTTTGAATCATGGTCTGGGTCACCGTGTGAGTTCCGTCATTTCCCAGAGGTTTCAGCCCCCACCCGGTATTCACTCCATCTGGCTAGTGGTATCAGTGAAACCCTCGGGGACTAAATTTGTTTTGATCCATCGTCGTGACATTGCGAACATAACGTCTTTCTCAACACGATATTCTCATTAAAATAGGTTTTGTAATGAGGTCCACGTTTTCTTTTAGGTCATGCGCGAAAATATGGCTTCACATCTTCAGTCCTCTACTGAAGGGCATCTTGCTTTAGCTTGCGTGAAGTTGAATAACACTCAAGAGCAGTTGGCAAATACACAGGTTGAGCTGAATAAAACTCAAATTCAGCTGAACAACACTCAGACTCAACTCAATAACTCGCAAGAGACAACAGTAGAATTGGTGAGGAAAGTGGACTGGCTTGAGAGACAACTGAAAGAAAAATTAAATGAAAAGCAAGTCAACGAAGCTGTACATAAAGTAATGCAGATGAAAACTAGGTTTATATGGAAGATCGATAACTTTTCTGAAATGCTCAGAAAAGCAAAGAGAGAAGAAAAGTTTAAGATAAAAAGTCAACCATTCTACACGCATAGCTGTGGCTACAAATTACGGTTATCGCTGTATCCTAACGGTACTGGGTCTGGGACGAATAGTCATCTTTCTGTCAACAGTAACGTATTAAAGGGAGAATATGATGCTTTATTACCGTGGCCCGTAAAAATAAGTATGACAATTACTTTGATTGATCAACAACCTTATGAAATCCTTCAGGAGAATGTTGAGTCATGCATCACGAATACCGTTTCGGAAATGCCTAAGAGCAATAATAAGAATACTCGTGGGTCTCATCAATTTTTGTCTCAAGAAAAACTTATGACAAGGTGTTATCTTGAACACGACACCTTGTTTCTCCGAGTTGACGTTGGTCCAACAGCGGGTGACTTGGGTTTTTGGCCAACGTCTTACCCTTTGTTGACGGAGACATTTGGAAGTTGGTGACTTTAGATCATGGATATGTATTTTGCGGCAGGTCCCCATTATCTCAGTTCTCTTGATTCAAGTCACCTCCTCCTTTTCTAACTTTGTTAAATAATGGTCACTTTTCAGGACGCGTCAGATTTTCGGGTTTGAATTTTCAGTGAACACAAACTGCAGCGCAAATATATAGGTGCAGCGCTTTAGTAACAAGTGTAAAATCAATCAGTGGTGACTTCGCGCGTTAACCTTCATTATTTTTTCACACTCAAGAAGTTTAGTGGAGTTTTTCAGCGTAGACTGCAAAGCCAGGGCGCAAAGTACCGGCGTGAAAAATTCGCGCGAAGTGGGCGAATCTCTTACAGAAATACGGGCTGTTTTGCAGTCTATCTTTAGCTTAGCATTATAGTGCCTAAAAGAGATATGAATGCTGTGAGGAGTAAAAAGGACCTGCTTGGCTTTTCAAACAGACGTTTTTACGGGAAATCTCTGGTTTCCAGCTTTAGATTCATTCATGAAATAGATCGTTTTCAGGTTATGTCAAGTTCGCCATATTGGTACACCAAAAAGTATTTAGTGGGGGCCATGTTAGTGCATCAAAAAAGTCCTGTAAGGATTAATCTCTTCTCATGTAAAAGATTTCTTTTATTCGAAAAGGGTTTGTAGAGTGGCTGATCACGCCAGTAAAAACGATATATAGATTTTTTTGAGCTGTGCATGTATAGAAAAGGTTGAGTTTGTATAGTGACATCAACGGTGAAACGTTAGCACTTTGGGTTACTTTCCCGAAAAGACAATATAGCAAAAATTAGGAAAGTTAATAAAAGTATTAGTTAAGATATTTTCAGTTTTTTCCTTCAACACAGCTCAGAAAGCTGGCAAACGATTTGTTTAAACTGACGTGTTTCTTGTTCTGCCTTCCGTTCAAATAACTCAGCATTGAGAGCGAATTTACTTATTTACCCGCGCTGTCCGCCAATTTAGTTTTCAACGGATATTATTTGTTCGCCGCTCATTTTTTTCCTTGTTCTCCACGTCCTCTCCACTGGTGAACAATAAGATCGCATTGCTATGTAGAGCAAGTATGCGAAACCTTAAAATAAACATCTTTATTGATGTTATAATTGTTGTATGCATTACATTTATAGATAAAAATACTGAAAAATGGTAGAAAGGGGTTCGAACCTTCGAAGTAAAATAAAAATGCAGTCGTATTGTTAGCTAACACGTTAAGTAACATTTTATACCGTATTACAATGCAAGCTTTACCTTCTGCGGTCTGATGTGAAATACCTGTTTTATAATGTAAACTTAATAGTCAATAAAAAGGAAGCAGTGATCGACTGATCTTTTTGTGGTGTATTGTAATTAACACTACTTTTCCCTTTGTAAAAATCTTTGGATATAAGTCCACTGTTTTAAATGCAAATCATTGTCTTTAGTACTTGACCGGCTTAGTCCATTTCTTCCACGGTGAGTCCGTCGGAAGAGCTGTAAGGATGCGGCTGTTGCTGCTGCTGCTGTCCATGGAGCTTGGCCATGATAGGAGAACACACTTGTTGAAGATTCTTTTGTTTTTCTTCGTATTCTTCCTTATCCTGCAGGGAATTCTGGGAATCAGACTGGTGTATGCAATTTAATCCAAGCGAATGCAACGCTATACCAGTAACACGCAGACGTCCACCTTTCAAATTTCAGTACAAACAAGGTCCTAGAAACTGTTGATACTACTAAATCTTTAGGGATCAACCTCTCGCATGATTTACGCTGGAATGATCATGTAAATGAAATTACCACCAAACCAGACAAGACTCTGAACTTTCTACGCCGCAATCTCCGCACTTATTCGGCCAAATTCAAAAAACGAGCATGCAAAACCCTTGTGAGACCGATTGTGGAATACCATGCAAATGTCTGGGACCCTTAAGTAGCTAAGAAAATACAACAGGTCTAAATGATTCAACGCTGAGCAGCTTGCTGGGTACTCGGGCGCTACGACAGATTAGACTGTCACAGATATGTTATTTTCTCTCAAATGGAGATCTCTAGAGCTCAAGCGATCTAACGCACGTCTCTGTATGCAGTACTAACAGAGTAATGGATTAGCCACTTATGAATGCGACAAACTTTTGAGAGAACATAAGAGCAGAAGGCACTAGGGCTAGGAGACATTGGAAATTGAGGATTATAACCTACAAAATAATGTAGGTTAAGTCAAAATTAACCTGAAATCAAATTTGACCTGTAACATATACATGTATATAGTCATTTAATTAAGACTAATAATTGAGCTTTATCCCTTTTTATAGATTGGAAATCACATTGAAACTAACTGCCCACTTAACCATGATTCCCTCCCCTTATTTTTCAATGGGCTGCATTACAAAGGTGTGAGTCTTAAATTCTTTGTTCATTAGTTTCTAGGATTTTGTTAATGCATAAAATACTTTGACCCGTTAAAATGCATATCGCAAGTAGCATTATGCAACCGCAAGTTTCAGTTTTGTAAGGATTTTTTTATCATAAAGTAGTAGTTTTGGTCGAAATCTAAAGGGAACATTTCGGTCTGAGTTAAATTTTTTCCATCTCTGGATGTTGTCCCCTTTGGCCAGTCGTACGAGGGATCTTCCCAAATTCGATGAAAAGTAACCATTCAGCGAATGACGAACTCAAAAGATTGGAAAAGACATTAGCCAGTTATCAATATTTCGGTCTGGCTTTTTGATCGGGCTATGTAAATTTATTTTTCCCTGTTTAGTCTCTAACTGATTGGTCTGGCATAACTGTAAGCCCCGGCCCCCTGAACACCGAGCTGATTAGGGAACACGCACCGAATGAGTCACTTACAACTTCGGTCGTTCCAAGAACTGATAGTTTTGTCTACTGCGTACTTAGCGCGGCTACTCATAAGTCTTTTGACCAGACCACATCATGATAACTTGTAAAAAGTCGTGACGATTGAATGCATTTGCTCAATAGGAGTAAATAAGTTATGCCCACTGCTTCGAATCTAGCCTGTGCCAGGCTCTCAGATAGTACAGTGGGAACGTATTAAAACGAGCAAAGCGAAAATAAGACGCGCACGACTTGGGAAAGGGGGCGGTGGCGGCGGGAAAAATGTCTCTCCCCAACCCTCACGCGTTTTTCGCATTTCTTATTACTGAACGACTTTCCACCACCATCTCGGAGCCAGGAACAGGCTACTTCGAATCTACACCTTTATTCAAAGAGGCAGACGTCATTAAATAGGACATTGATTCGGCTGGGGGGCAAGTTTGCATATTTGAGCAAGTTTCAAAAATATTTACATCTGACTTGAAATAGTTTCCACAATAAAGTGAACGTGTATCATTTTCTACAAACTTTCAAAAAGTTTGACTCTCCAGGAACCGAGCATGACATGACAAAGCTATTGCAGAAATCACACTACGAGCCGAATACTAGCCGACATGCGGTCGACATACCGATCGTTAGACGATCTTCATTCGGACCATATATCGGTCCCTCTGATCGGTGGAGACGCGGTTGATAGGCGGTCGAGCATCGATGAACGGAAGCAGCCGTCAGCAGCTTGCATAAACTGAAAACCTTACAAATTAAAGAGGGGTAAACTGAAATAAAGGATGAACAGGAACACTTAGGCTACTAATTTTTTCTCAAATACTAGTTGCTTTCTTGTAAATAATTCTACCTGCAAACTTGCTGCATAGAATTCTTGAGTACGGTGACGAAACCGAAAACAACAAGGAAGGAAAACACACTAATACTGAAAGATCACATGTGACTTCGGATGAACACTGGTCTCGTTACTCAAGCTTTTTTGTTTTTGAGATTTTTGTTAATCTCGTCTGCGGCCAAATCGCGGTACACCTCCGCATGAAGGGAGGAAGGGTTGACCTCTAACGCCCAGTTAAATATTTCGATTGCTTTCTGATGTTCTTCCATTTCCATCATCAAGAATCCAAGCATGGCGATGTTTGCCTCGTCTCCTATTGCTGGAAATCGGTTGCATTTATCACGAACAAATTCTTCCAACCAACCGGCAAAGATCCGGGCACCTTTATGGCCAGTGTGACGGTTTCCCCGAAGCTCTCGTCCTCGGTCAACATGACACATTGCAGCCACATACATCAAGTTTCCAAATGAAAGTACGTCGACGGATCCGAGATGCTCAACTTCCCATGAGAAATAGTCACCTCCTGTGTGGCTGTTATGGTTGGCATAAGTGTTACAAACATTGGGGTACCTCTTATTTGACTGTTCCTTCATGACTGCATAAACAACGCGCAAAGCTTTATCGTACTCTTTGAGGGACCTCAAGAGATTGCAGTAGTCCACAAACATCCAGATCTGATGGATGTCAATTGGATCCGAAGGTTTCAGTAGCGTCTCAAACAAGTTCTTGGCTTTCTGGCAAAAACCACTGTGAGCTTCCTGGTCATTTTCCAGTAACGCCAAGCAGCCACGATTATGATATATTGATGCAATCACCGCCAACTGCAGCTTCAGGTCAATACCACCGAGATCAGATTCAACTGCAACAAAACTTTCAAAAGCAGCCAGGCAGTCAGCGGCAGAAGGGAGCTTTTCAATGTCCTCGCAAGAAGTGACAACCGCGACTGCTTCGTACGTTGAATCTCCCTGTGTGAGTAATCCATTGACGACGTGACCACGAAGACAACTCTGGAATTTACCCAGCTCACTGCTGCTCACTGGCCTGGGAAAACGAGACAAACAGCAGCCAACAATCTCACTAATTAGCGGCTCTACAGGCATATGGGAAGCCTTGTAAAACTTTGTAAGGTCTACGAGATTTTGAACTGGGTTTGCTAGCACTTCTCTGATTGCTTCCTTTGTCTTTGACATCTGCACAAGGCCTAACCCACTGAACAAGTTGTTCTGAGGTACGAAGTAATTTGGTAACGCGCGTTCCTCGCAGCTTTTAAGAAGGAACTGCAAAAGTCGTTGAATGCCTTCAACTGTTTTCATCTCTTTCCACTCCGACAAACTGATGCTCTCACATAACCAGAATAGGGCGGTTTTCAAAAAGTACGTCACCAAGGCCACACCATGTCTTTTGAATTTGTAGATGTGCAGCAGCTTTAGAAAGATATAGCATCTTCGAGGGATTGACGACAAGGTCAACGCTAACGTCACTTCCGCTTCTGAGAAAGATAACCGCCATTCCACGCTGGGCTGCTGGCTTCGCCGATGTGAAACAGGTACAACATGACAACCCTGTTTTGCAATATCCCGTATCAGCCGCGGACTGGGCCACCCTGATGGCCTGTGTCGTTGTATCCATTCAGAGGCAACCTCTGGCCACTCCTGACAGTGGAGTGAGTGAACGTAATCCACAGAGAGGTCGTTGCCGCCAGAGCACACCACACTGCTAGTGAAAGCTGGCCCATGCAACAAGTGATTTGTCCGAAGATTGTACCCTGGACGGTCAATAACTTCGAAAGCTGATATTCCCTGCTTTTGTAGCTTTAGTATCTTCGACATGGTCGCGACAAACTTGGAATTGTATATGAAGCCATTCTTATCCAGCCCGCCATTTTCTATTGATCTACGTTCCGGTTGCCGTTCAGTTCTAGAACTCAAAGCGGAAAACCCTGGATTGAAGCGAAGCCGACAGTAGCCGGGATGAGTACCTTTCACGTCCAAAACAGCGAAGGTTTTTCTCCGAAGTTCCTCATTTACCGGCCAGTTTTCCCAAACAATCATTATATCTTTATCGGCAGAAACCATCGATGATTCCGAGCTGTGCAGTGGTTTTCTCACCAGGGAAAGATCTGGTAGATACAACCCCTCTTCGCTACTGCCACTGAACAATAAATGCATCGAATTCATACTAGCAGAAGGGAAGTCTTCCATGTGCTGCTGCCTGCTCTCTATTGCTGTTTTGTGAATCAACTTTACCTCACGTATGGGCATGATGGCATCAAGGATAGGTTCCGTGTATTCCTCCGGCAAATCCATCGTCGGGCACCGGATATAAAGCAGGGTAAAGTTGAACAACAAACGATCTATGAGTCTTAAGTGGCCATCGAGGCAAGTAGAAATGTCAAATATCGAAAAACAGTTCACACAAGCTTTCAATTCATGAACAAGGAAGCGGAAAGCGGGTGAGCCCACTAGGAGTGCCAGCGGTTTTTCAAATGCTCACGCTCCTTCATGTATGCCTATGCCAACCGGTGTTGCAGAAAGATAATTTATTGCCTTGTGTTTACGTGGACTGGCCCATAGGTAACAATTGCCAATCTACTGTACGTGAGCCGGGTATAAAAGTGAGGAATAATCAATGCCCCCAGAATTATATGACCACAACGTTTTTACAAGCAAAGAGGACTGAAAATAACAAAATTAATGTTGATGAGATAGAGGCCTTAAGCTAGATATTGTAGAACTGGCCAATTCTATCCCTGCTGTTAAAGTTTCCCAGTTCCAGAGAGTCTGTTGTAAAACAATTGTTTAAGTGGCTTGTTACAGTTTAAAGGGATGTAAGTCATTTCCTTTCAACATTCTAACACTGGTACTATTTATCAGTTATGATAAATTTATGGTTATGGTTATATGGTAAAGTCATGTTACCAAATATGCCGTGTCAACAAGATTCCCCCATCATCTTAACATAACAGGTTACCACAGTAACAGAAACAGCTGCGGAAAAAACTCCCTTTAAATGTATTGTGTCACCTAATACACCGTGAGGGTTCGGTAGCAACTAATACTTCCATATAGCACGAGTGGTGCTGAGCACTTCTCTTCTTGGTACTTCATAACTAGCCTTGCTGTTGCACTAGAGAACTACTAAAAGAGAGTCTATACGACTGTATTCAACCGCTTTAGGGCAAAGGTGTCTCCTCCTTCCTGAGCTTTCGTTTTTAGGGGATTCGTAATTCCTCCCTCCTCACAAACGAAAAATGTAAATTTTTTTTCACTTGATCTCAAAAACATTAGCCTCAATTTTTTTTATTTGCCCTTCGTTTTACAGACTGGTGTGAATGACACATATCTTGGTCGCGCGGCTAAACGCTTACCGCTTTAATCTTGTGTAACGTGACGCTGTGGTGTTTCCCGGCAATATTTTGGCGCGAAGCTGCGAGGCCCGTGATCAAATATGGTAAGCAAATAATGTTAAAATTCTCGTCTACTTCTGGTGGCCCATTCACGAATAGTTGCGACTTTTTGAATACAAATGAGGGTATTCTATTACTTTGTGATTCAGCAATGGAAGTGTAACTTGGTTATTACAACGCACGTTCGAACACCAAAATATGACTCAATTCAGTGTCGTGGAGTGGCAGATGGTAAAGAAATCTTTTTCACTAAGCTGAGAGGAACTTGTCTTCAAACAATAAAAAAAATAGCGTTTAAACATCAGTGGAAGTCATAAATATCCCCCATGTTACAAACACGAACTGTAGGTAGCGAGAGTTTGGTGAAGAAAAGAGCGTAAATAGCCTTTTAATTTGAGCAAACTTATTCATTAAAGTTTGATATAAGCTGCAATGAATCTTACAAAATGTTGTCCTTCTACTTCATTAGTTTCTGGTTTCATTAGTTTTCTGTTTTTGGTGGTTTTTTATGGAGTTGCGATCACCAAATGACGTCATACAAAAGATTGAAAAGGCACTAAACAGTTCCAACACTACATAAAAAAAAGAAACCAACAAGAGTTTGTGCAATACCAAGAAACGCCCACATCCTTAAACTGAGGAATGTTCGTCGATTAGATTCTACCGCATTTACTTTTTTAGTACCAAGTATCAGGAGCAAGTTCTCGCCACCCTGTTCCTGCAGTTCTCAATGAGCTCTGGACTCATTTAGGCCACGACCTTGAATTGTAATGGCGATGAGGAAGTACTCAAGATGTACAGGCGACAATGCTGAATCTCTGGGGGACAGTTTGATGCTGCTTGGTAGTTGTTTGGTAGATGGTTAAAAACTTGTATCCATAAAATTAAGCAATTATTAAATGAGACTGAGTAGGTGTTAAATTCCCGTTACCTTCGCTGTAGTCTGTGTCCATGTCTTTATTACACCAATTTACCATTAATGGACACTAAACACTCTTCCTTTTTTAAAAAACTTGCAAACGCCAACTTTCGTGGCCTTTCCCGGTCGCGCGTGCGTGGGCGTAGGGGGCACTTTGGGGACCTCCCAAAACGGAACGCGGGCGCAACCCATTTGGCAGGGGCGAAGACTAAAATGGCGGAAGTAGTAAAAAATCCTTTGCCTTCAGGATATGAATACGAGTTTATTTCGACTGTACTTGAAGATCACCACTGCCTTATTTGTCACTTACCTTTACGAGAACCAGTTCAAACAAGATGTGGCCACAGATTTTGCAAAAAATGTCTTGATGAAGCGATTAGAAGGTATGAAAATCGAAAATGTTGTAAGGCCATGCTGTTTTTTTTTTCCTTTTAGCGTCTTCCGACCGAGCCAAATTTTTGGCATTTTCAAAAAAGAAAAGTAACGACGAAGGTAAACCATTTTTCACTTGAAATAATTCTTTTAATCTGAAAAATGAGCATAGTAACAGCATAGAGAAAAACAGGAAGAAAGACAGGAACATTTTTTACAAAACAGCATGATGCCCCCCGAACGGTACCAGTATCCTGACACTTAAAACAAAAACTCAATTTTTGAGGCGCCCTTTTCAGTTCTCGGTAAACGGAGTATTTCGAATGAAAGCTGAACATTTCAGCTCTAAGGTGAAAGTTTTGGTGAGTTTAAAGGTTGCGAAACAGTCGCAGAAGACGCCGTTTTGTTCAGGTTGGTAACCTTTTCATGGCTAATATTTACGCTGTTTACTGCGCAGTAAAATTAGTGCTGCTCAGAAAAGGGTAGGTAATATGTTATGTTTTCAAAGAAACTGTTCTTTATTTAAAGTGAAGATACTTAAAGAAGTCAGGTTCTCAGAAAGTTTATTACTTCTTCTTGAAATTCGATTTGTTTGGAAAAACGGAGGCCAGAAACAAACGACAGTTTTTTCTTTGCTGTACAGAATCAGAATCGATGAATTAGCTGTGTACATTATTCGGATAAGATTTATTTCATATCTATAACTATAATTAAAGGTTAGGATATATGATATAGTCGTAAAATGTAATTCTACTCAAATCAGTGTGGAAATTTTCTTCACTCATTCAGAGGCGACTTAATTTCGTGTGCACGGCTTGTTTCGCGTGACTGCATTTTCCATATATAACCGAAAGCGTCGGAGTTGAACCTGGAATTCTCATACTTTCCCCAGTTGTGACTGCTAGAATGAGGCTGCAACGGTCTGAAAAATGTCACAAAGGGATTGAGAGATGTGAAAGAAGAAGAAATTAGTGCTAGAAAAGCAGGCTTATTGTGGGGACTTAGCATGAAGAAATCAACACTACAGGTCAGACTAAATAGGAGGGTGATCTTTGACCGTCGGATTGAGGTCCCTTCCCCAAGCTTTTTTTTAAAATAAAAAATGAAGAAAAAAAAGTTCTTTGCAGATTGGTTAATTGAGCTTGCAAACCGCGGCTTCGGCATGTCCACGGATGCCTTTCTTAAATCATTGAAAAAGGTTCCTATAGACAAGGAAGTAAGAATTATACCATTTAACAGCCACTCGCGTTCCCTACCATACTCCAGTCATTTGTTATGTTTTATTTCACGATGCTAGGTTATATTCTGGAATCGATTGCCAGACTACTTTGCAAGTGCAAGAGAAGCTTAGAAGTCGCTTGCCTGTCGAAATTTATGTACAATTACTTTGTTATTGTTGTGTCCGGATACTGGGCAACATAGGAGCTCTGCAAAAATATTAATTTTGCGATGGAAACAAAGGCAAAAAAGTTAAACTGTCTTTTGTCATATTAAGGACTCTGGGCTAAATTTCAGAGCTCTTGGGACTAACAAAGGAAAGTCATTGCAATGTTAAACTGAAGTGTCCGGATACTGGGCAACATACTGTATATTAATCCAAATATGTGAATGTTAACTTTTAACGTCATCCTGGGGTACCAGGGCCTCCTATTCTGAGATTTCTTCTTTTTTTTTTTAGGTTTTTTTTTTTAATCTGACCGACCGACCCAATATCAGGAAATGCATTCGACACTAAACGAAAAAAAAGGGGATGGCCTAATTTTAACTATTGGGTGACTAGATACCCAGACTTTGGTCCCTGAAAAATTGTATCAAAAAAAAAAAAATTAAATCGTGTAATGCTAAACGGGGACGACAATGAAAATGGCTTCAAGACTAATAGATCTAATTAGCAAAAAAACAAATTGCACGTGCAGCACACTTTTTCTTCTAATTAGCAAAAAACAAATTTGCACGTACACGCTTTTTTGTCTTTCCCTTGCCATTGTTTTGCATGACTGCCACGCTGTTTTGGACGACTAAAACGTCAAACTTCCTAGTTGCACATTATTTTTATGGAGGAATTGTCGTATGTGCTTACCCAATATTTTGTTTCCTGTGTTCATGTTCGCTTTTATTTTTCACTGCCGCTCATTTTCACCTTGCTGGCCGCTAGCATTTCTCATTTTCTCACCACCGCTTTGAATTTCTATGTTTTTCTTCCTACGAAATTCATCTCAGTCCTTTGTTTTCAATAACTCGCTCTAGTTCTTTCTCTGTTATCCACGTTAGTGTAAACATAAACAATAATGCCGAAAAATACATGACTTTTTCTTTCTAAAAGTCCGGGCAGCCATACCTGTTGATTGAATTATTTTACATTGGTATACCTCTGGTGCGGATGGATGGTCACTCGCTCGGTGTACTGTCACGTGATTACCAAATTTTCTCGGATGGGTAGATTACCACATTCCTTAGCTATGGGGCTCCGCCAACGCGCGGCGCGAAGCGCCGTGCGTGGAGCTCTGCTAAAAACAGTGGAAAAGGTATTTGGCTTTATGCAGTGACCCATTGCCCGGATGTTACATTTCAAATCAAGAATACTGAATACTCCATATCTTTTCACTAGAGCATTCTGACTTACTTATGTGGCATGACCACAAAATACATTGAATGTTGTTTTTGGGGTCTGATGTTTTGAGGTCTAAGTTTTAAGTTCTGAGGTCTAACTTAGTTTTCATTGAAGCTGTTACATACGTGCCAACCCGCGGAGTACAAAAATCTGGAGACATTTAGAAGTCTAATTTGCATTGTAAGAATGTCATTTTCGACAATGTCTGAATGCTCTCCGAAAATAACCTGAAGGCCTTCTGAATGTTCCCAACGTCGATAATAGTCGATCTTGTTAAATATATATCAATTTGATTGCTCTGTCTTACGTTTTGCGATCGAGAACAGCTCAAGTAAGAGCACTAAATCTACTTCTTGTTTTATTTTCCTTTTTGATATCTCAAAAATAACCAAAAAAAATGGAAAAATTTTCAAAAAGGCAATGGTAGAGACTGGGAGATTCGATGAAAAACTTGGAGACTCCCAGAAAACTGGGAGAGTTGGCAGGTATGCTATTATTTTACAATTTGATTCTTGAACTTAACATGGGCAGGCTGAGTTGACTTTTTTATGTTAAGTTGTGTGACCATACTTGTCAGCCACAAAAATCACTAAAATAAATGTAAGTTTTCAAAGGGTCTGAATTTTTCAAGACCTATTTTGTTTGTAGACACTCTAGAATAACTGTAATTGTCTCTTGCAGGTAGTCATGGTCACCTCTATACAGTGGCAACAGCCACCAATTCATTTGATTTTATTTTAGTTCGTATGTTAACAGACAAGATTCAATCAGTATCTTTGGGAAAATTTGCTGGACCCCTCATCTTGGCTCCCGCAATTTTTTCCATACAAACCCTTTTTTGAGAGACACTCTAACACCCATATAAACTTCTGGGTAGCCTCAGTCACCAGAAAGTCACCAGTCAGTCACCTCAAAATTGGCTCCCAGTTTAATTTCCAGATGCTCTTTCGATCCCTGGTATTAATTAAGTTGTACCCCATAATGTTTGCATACAGGTACTAACCTTATTGGTGCTAATAATTTTGAGGGCCTTAAATTTCGTGTTTTTTATTAAAATAATTTGCAAAAATAAAGACCCATGAAAATAAATCCTCAGAAAATTAAATAATCGAAAATTCAAATTACAAATAAATATATTAAGTTGAAAAAGCAACATTATATACAGGATATGTAGAAAAAATATAACTTGTTTACTGGTTATACTCGTAAGCTCCATTCTGTTAATCTTCATAGTGAAGTAAGGTTAATTTGTAAAGCTTTCACACATTGCATTTTCTGTTTAACTAGAAATTTGAAAACTTTCAAACTGTTTTAAAAATAAAATGAAGTTGAGAATGCTTTCATCACAAAATTTAACGCCTTGTTCTCATATTTGCATGTTGAAAGGGCAAAAATAAAACCTTGCAAAATTCTCTCTTACCAAAATTGCAAAATTAAGTACCAATAAGGTACATGTAACGAAGGTCACATGATTGTAAACTGTGAAGGACCTGTTGTCTCACAATACTTATCATTGATACTCAGGT